TAAGATCTCATTTATAATTCTTCTTACTATCTGCTACACAATACTTATGATGTTAGTGCTGAGAATTTGGTATTGGGGCAACTAATAATCCCCCAAATGATAACTTTCTATATTCTCATAGCTTGCCTACTTGATATTGTATTAATATTGTAAGGAGGAATTATGTCTAGGTCACTATCATGAAAAAAAAAAAGAAAAAACAAAAGGAATACATACCTTAGAATAGGTGATGATGGATTAACAGTCCAGACAAACAAACCACTGTCACAGCCAACCACTAATACAGATCCTGACAGAGGTCTCAATTTTAAAAACAATAATTTAAGAATAAAATACATAGAAACAATAATCAGAAAAAAATTCACCACACATACAGTGTATCTGTATTGCACTTCAAAATCTAACCCTTCAAACCCTTACACCATTATGAATTTTCTCCATATTGTTCTCCATACAATTCCTTAGGTGCTGATAAGGAGAATTTGTTTTACAATCAAAAGCTTCTTTAGTTGGTGATCATTTCCTTTATGCTCATGACCTTAATGTGTGATTTGGGGTGGTATTGTGCATAGATATTAAATTCTTCAGTAGTTAAAAGGTTAAAGAAAACTTCAACATGTTAATTACAAGAGAATTTCAAAATTATCAGCCCTACCTCCAAGCCAGGCAACTAACAGCTTTCTGTTGTTTGTGCTCTAGTATAGGAACCAAGTCACTAAAAAAAGAGACAAAAAAACAATTTTTATCTCACCAACAATAAAATTATTAAAAACCAAACAGGTACATTCACAAGCTACCATGTTCTCTTGCAGGAACACACACTGCATTTAATTCAAACGTCACCTTTTAGGTAAGGAGATAAGCTAATTATTTTAGCTTGGATATTCTTGCAAATGAAGACTCTTCATAAATTACATAACTTAGCCCACATGCAAAACCAGGTGAAGAAAATGAACCCAGGCCACACCCATGGGTAATGAGCACTCACACCACTGTGCCATCTCATTCAATCTGTACTACCATCATATATAAAATATCAAGGCAATGTAAATTTCTTTCGCACATATGAAGCACACGGTTTTCTTTGAATTCATTAATATGTTAGTCTGAGTGGATTACTTCTGATTCAGCCCTACCTCTACTTCCACTACTTATTATTCAGTAACATAAAATATCCCACCTTGATAATGTATAGACCATAACTGAATCATTCTGAAAAAGTATCACAGAGCACTTAATAAGTTCAATGCTGCAACCAAGCAGATTAAAAGGAACAGGAGACTGATGAGCAATAAAGGTGTTTAACATACACTGACACCTTTATGAAAAACTAGTTTAAAAAAAAGTGAAAAAGAACACCAATTTATGTGTCATGCTTTACAAAGATATAGGACTCTGATGCAATTGACAATAAAGTGATCGAGGCAGCCTTCCTTTGGCAGGCTATAGTTTTTCAATAACAGCAAGAGTGGGGCTCGACAAGTGATTTAATAATAAATTTAACAAGTTATAGTGGGGATGGGAAGGGGGCTATGGTGGTAGACATCGTAAGGCACATCCCCATGAAAATCATGAGAAACTGCAACATGCTCCAAGACCTATGTAGAAGCTTCCTGTACTGACACCTACCCTTCTCTCACCTCTCCCCTCCTCTTCCCCCTCCCCCCACCCCTGCCCTGTTGATTATTCAATCACTCCCACTAAACTTTATTTCAAAAATTTATACACTTTTATATCATTTCAAACAAACCTGCCATGCCACCACAAATTTAGCAACATGAGGGTGCCACGCAAATGCCCTGATGTGAGAGTTTTTCCTGTAAAATCAAGAGATTAAGAGACTAATAGATGGAGATAGCTTGCTCATCTACTTGACTGCAGTACTCTTTTGGTAGCTAATGGCTCCCTCTGAGTGATAGGTAAGAGTGTAACTCATATCAGAATCTACAATATTTCATCTGCTTTTAAATTTATCAGTTACATTTATTAATCAACTGAAGCGAGATCTTCTTTCATTAAAACCATTCATAATGTAAATAAATAGATTTCAATGAAATAATTTAACTCTACACCTGAACAGCACATATTGCACAATGATGATTGAACTGAGTGGAGTGCAATTTGAAATCATACTCACAATTTCAAAACTGAATGAATATGCAGCACAAGTTTGATTTGAAATCATAAGTCTGATTTCAGCCCAAAATTACACAACACAAAGTTCAATTATCACTTTATTACATCCATTATGAAATTGCAACATTCACTTGCTCAAATACAGATTTTTTAGTCTGTACAAATATTTAACTGACCCAGTATCAAGCTGGTTTGTAAATAGTTGAAAATTTAAAGCTGTCTGTTATTTTCCTGCATTTTGATTGATTCCTTAAAACAAGCCTTGAAATATGATTGGTTGTTGTGTTAAAGTAAAACTTTCCCATTGGCTGGAGAAAAGATGCAATTTCAAGCAAAAATTGTGTGACTTATGGGAAAGCTATTAAATTGCACTCATGGGAGCCAATCAGAGTGCAAGGATCTCCTGCAATTTCAAAATGAATGTAATAAAAACTATGATGAAGCAAAAAGTAAGTGAGTTGCATATAAAATAATTCACTAGTAGGTCTAAATTTTTAATTATTTAATAAAAAAATTATTTCCGTTGGTTCATACAAACTGTTATATATAATTTTTGTCAAAATAAAAAAGAAAAGTTACAAATCATACTGGTTTAAAAATCACTCTGACCCATATTTCATTTAACCTAAAACCCATTTTCAAACTAATTCTACTTTTGTGAATCTAAAGTATTACCAAGAAGACACACATGAAAAGGCATCGATCATTTCCTCTCTGGATAACTGAAAGCAAAAAGAGAAGATTAAAAAAAGTAAATTTTATAAATAGACTTACATTACAGAAATAGAGAAAGACCATGGTAAGACAAAAAACATCTTTCTTTATCTCTTTACTAAACGTAGAACTTACCATCTTCCTCATTCTATTTAAAAAACAATGATATCGACATTGCTAATCCTAGCAGTATGAAGGATGCATGTCAAATATGAAGTTAATAATAGACCTTGCTCACAATAGAGTCGCTGTGGCTCACTGGTAGAGCATCAGAGTGTCCAAAGGTCTAAGGTTCAATTCCTCATGGCACACTCATGACAATACAGAAAACATGTTTCTCTGTAAATTACATAGTATTTAACTGTGAAAACATATACATCTACAGCACTGCAGGCCTTAAACTTGAACAAAAAAAGTTCAAATTTGTAGTATTTATATAAGCTAAATTTTTAATAAATAATAGGTTTCACAAATAGACACTCTCCCAGGGTTGTCATCAAAAGACAGTAGGTGGCACAAACTAGTCAGCTCTTAAAAAATGTTAGTGCCAACTGCTTTATGAAATGTGATCAAATGTAGAAAATATTAGCTAAAGTATATTTCAACTGATTCTAACATAAATGACTGGCTGAAAAAAAAAGATACTCAAATATGTCCCAGAATCCTGGAAATCTCCTCTCAGCAAACCTCAAATTTTTCCAAAGGAGCATGCCCCGGATCTCCCAAGAAGAACATGTTGCTTTTCAAAATGCCATGCTTGTTACAACTCAGCCACTGACTCAGTTCAGATCATACATCTATTACATTTTCTAATACCAACCATGCTCTTCCTAAAAACATTTTTTAAAGGTTTCTTGAAAACTTACCTTTAAATGAGGGAAAATGTAGCCATACAGCGATAAGAACCATCTTACCACAGTGTCTGTTCCATTGCTCATATGCCAAAACCATGATGGAACTTTGTCAAGGAAAAATATTCATTGCCAAGTAAATTTTCATCATAAATTTTGAAGATTAATTAGTTACTTAATAAGGCTGTCAATGTAAGCAGGTAACTGGCACAATTTACTGTCTTCTCTGAAAAACAAGCTGGCTATTCCAAATGCTTGTAGCCTAATCTTCAGTAGTTCAGTTACTCAAAATATTTTTGACAACCCTGCTGAAACATCTAAATTACATAGCTGTAGTCAGAACAATTTGTTATTAATGGACTTGGAGACCATGGTTGCCTCCTTGCATGAGGGAATAGATTTGCTGATTATCAGCCATTCTTTTTCTACATATAGCGAAAAAGTAAGCCAAACAAAGGCAAATGTAGGTAATAAGGTATTATCAACTGGGTTGATAATGTAAACTGGCCACCATAAAGAGTTTAAAGGTGGTTTAAAGTCTACATCTTTAATAATTATGTTCTGACAGAACTGGACATCTATAAGTAGTGATACAATTTGCCAAACTAACTCACTTTGAGGACTGAAACACTTATAATTACAAAAAACCTCCCCTTTTTCATTCTGAACATTCATTAATTGTACATTGTACCTTCATCCTTGCTTTTCTTGACCTCTTGTAGCATTTCAGATATTCCTTTGGAATGCCTAGATAATAAAATTACATAAAATTCCATGTATTAATACCAATCCCTACAACACTTGGAAGGGAAATAGTTCTTTAGGTTTCAATTTCATGTGCCTACTGAGCCCAAATCAAAGTACAGTATATATTCATAGCTTCATCGTCAAATAAGTAGCAATAGAAACATATTAGGTAACTGTCTTACTATCATAATGGCACAAAAATATGCTTAGATGTATGTCTGTGGACTGTTAGGGGATTAATCATTGATCATTATCATTTATAAAATAATTCAAATAGTACGCGTGCTCTGATTGATTACTGTTAATAGATTAAAACAGATTGCAATCCATGATCTTTGAAACAATTTGATATGAACAACAAAACAGAATCACAAAACCCTGCCACAGTAGTAAGGAATGCCTAGAAATGGCCATCTGGAAACAAACATTTTTCTGAAAATGAAACTTGAGGAAAACTTTCGCCTTCATGGAAAAGTTAATGCTAAAGGACGTATATATCAGGATGTTTTAATTAAATGTTTTATTTGGTGATGTGCTGGAAAAAATTTATACAAATATCTTGCTTGTACTTACCAAACCTTAAGAAGCTTGTTATAAATACTTTTTTCTTTCTTCACTAATGACCCCCAATCTGGATCTATAGAGCTGGACAAGTTATTTCCTGTCTTTGCACTCTCAATGCTTACATCAATTGAAGGATACTTGATCCCCTGATGAAACACAAAAACTATTATTCCTATCTTTCCATTGGAATCATAAGGGTTTCAAAAATTTCAAGAATTTTAACCTTAAGATCCTAAATGATTAGATTAGTATAGAACTATTGCATTAATCAAATCAAATCTTCAACATTGATTCCCCTCCAGGCAACCTACCCATCTCATGCATTTGAAGTTGTTCAAATTCCCCATCCCCTGGGGCCAAAATTGTGTTCAAATGTCCTACCCAAGTGCTAGATTTGATGGCTCAATTTTTCCTGTGAAAAGAAAAATCAGCCACCTTTGCTTTCTACACCTTGACCAGGCTTTAAACCTGTGTGCCTTTGGGGTGCTCAATTTTAAAGAGAATTCCCAACTTAAATGCCCTCTAAAATGATGTTTGCAAAGATCAGCTGTACAAAATCCCTTTTATTCTAAAAATAATGTACAGTTACAAAAATACTTTATACTTTGATCAAAACTGATACATGCTGTGGTGAATGCTAATGTCTATTAATAAGAATCTAGACATTGACAACTGAGAGGTTTAGACTGGGCACAGGCAGGTTACATATTAGTCCTTTCCTTACGATTGAGCAATTTTTTCAGCATGAAAATAAAAAAAACTGGAAAGAGTCAATGGCTATGCACCACGCTGGCCCATTTTAATTGCAAAATTACTTTAATATATTACCGTTTTTATATGTGTCCGTGCACTTCTTATTAGCAATCAAGCATGCAATCAAAAAGTTTATTTGTAGCTTCTAAGAAAGTTTTGTTCCCCCCTCCCACACCATAGACAATTTGGATTATTTCTATATTTTATTAGTTTTTGAAACTTATTCCCGATTACTAGACCGTTGTTTTCGTGTATCAGTCGAATACCTTTGATTTAATAGTCTTGTGTTTTATGTAGGTAAGATATATGCATTTAATAAACTATCTGGTCCCAAACAAGCCTTTGTCTATTGTGTCTAGGGTAATTTTAAATTCGTCTCTGAGCAAATGTAACAAAAGTGGTCTAATCAGCGCTATTATTATATCATCAGTACAATCTGACCCCACTGGATGTACAGCTATTTCATAATGATATGGTTTACGGTCTCAAAAAAGATCATGCTAGTAATAGTAGTTTCGTCTTGGTAATAAGTAATTTGAAACGGACTGTACCTGAGTTGCGGGCACATATTTTGACAACTTTGCAGTGCTGTAATCCTCAGCTATCAATCTGGCATTCATTTCACATAACGTTACTTCGCCCATTGAGGGAGGAGCTGGAAAAACGGACAATGAAGCCATGTTTGGAGGTCAATCACAGTTCCGCAATTCAAAGATGGCGGGAAGGTCTTGTTTTATTGCCAGGCGTTCCAAACGCACGCGAGAGACTGGGCTGGTTGATTGGCATTCTGAGTGTTTTGGCGGGGAACTTGTTACTTTTGGGAGATGCGTGAAAATGAGAGGAAGTAATATCGATCGTCATTGATCTGATGAGTAAATCGTTGTGATCTCTTTCCAACAAGAGGAGCGAAATGTCTCAAGCTGTTCGCCGCGAGGAAAATGAATATATTGCAATATTCCAAGCTTTTCTCGAGGAACATCACAAAGAAGATATCCTGAACGTTCTCATGGCTGACGACCCGTCAAGCCAGTACTGCGTTGTTGTCAACGTATTAGAACTGTTTGATTCTAACATTGAGGTCAGTCAAAAGCTTCTGGCAGATCCGAACAAAATGCTGCCCTTGTTTGATGGTGCACTGGCTCAGGCAGCTGTTTCGATTATGCAGGAAAGTACAACTCAAATTTCCATGTCGTTTAAAGCGCATTTGCACGTGAGGCTTTCCAATCTTCCCATCTGTCCGGAACTTCGAAGAGATAAGATACCTAAGACGTCAGACATCGGTCGTTTTCTAGCTATTTCAGGTGAGTTGAAAATAGAAACGTTGACAAAGGAAGATGCTTATATCACTGCCTCGCCGCCCGTGATCTCACGGATGGTTCTTTTGCAGAGAGAACTTCTAGAACTTTTACAACTCTTACTTCGTATATGGCTAGGAAAAATCTCTGAAATCCCTCGGAAATGTTGACGGAAGTCAAAGCCACTGCAATCTAGGTGTACTTTCGACTTATTGATTGGAGGTGTAAGCATTTTTTTCTCACCCCACCCTCCAAGGGGTGTCCTTTATGGTCCAAGGGTAAAGATCTTCTCAGATAGAGAGAGGGGGTGAAAAAGGAATTCTTTGATAGTGTATCTCTGATCCTGCAGGTGAGATAAATCTTGAGAAGAACTGTTCTCAGTGATAGCAAATGACAACAGACCTTCTCAGAGCTACTCACACCTTCAACCGCCGGTAAATTATTAGACTACACAACAATCAAATTTTACGCCTGAGTTCAAACCAATTTGTGTATTATCCCTTTAACCCCTAAGGGTGATTGGCTTCTTATTTCTCCAATCATTTTCAACCCTGAATCACACATTAAAGTAAGGAGAATAAAGTAAATGATCATCAACCAAAGAAGTGATGATTGTTAAACAACTTCTCCATATCAGCACCTTAGGAAATGTATAGAGAATGGTATGGAGAATGTGCACACTGGTATTAGGTTGTAAAGGATTAGGAGAAATCTTTACTCTTTTAGCCCATAAATCCTTGGATTAACCATTTTAATTGTAACAATTTATATTATTTAATTTCAGGAACTGTCATTAGAGTATCAACTGTAAAACTACTAGAATATGAGAGAGACTACATCTGCGCTCGTTGTAAACACATCTTTGGAGTACAAGCTGACTTTGAACAGTTTTACTCAATTCCCAAACCAAGCAAGTGCCCTTCATCCAAGGAATGTAATTCCAACAAATTTTCTTGCCTGTCAGATGGTGGTAAGTGGTTGTTGAGAGACTTTCCAATTGAGTGTGCACTTGAGTGAGTGACAAAGTGGGAGGTGGGTAGGTGGTTGGGTGGGTGAGTGATTAAGTGAATAAGAGAGTGTATAGGTAAGCTAACTGACCAATGGACTGAGTGAGCAATTTAGGCTTTGACTAACTGATATTTGACCAAATAACATGCGGCTGATTAGTAATTGTTGCTTGGTCACAGATCAACTGACTGACAAGCTGTTAGAGAACTGACCACTTAAAAGACCTTTTTTTTCCTAAATAACCACCAAAACAAAAGATATACTGTCCATGTGGAAAATAATTTATTTTGCAAGATAGATCAATTTTGCAGGGATGGACAATTTTGATAAAATTTATAAATTATCCAGGCTGCACAGTATTGAAAGAAAGCTCCTAGCTCTTGTCCTTGTTAGAGTTTTGCTGATAGTGAACCAATAAGGTCACCTGTCATGTGACATAACCAGTGAAATCTTAGTATTGTGTCTCTCCTCACTACATTGAGGTCAGTTTGTGGTCTCTGATGTAAATTGCCTTTCAAGCTCCTCTCAGAAACCATTCCAATTTTCAGTCTAAAATGTGTGTCTTTGATTTGGACAGAGTGTTTTGTCCTTTCCTTGTTGATGTGTTATGATCAGGCTTGGTAAGAAGGTTCAGTGACCAGCCAACCATGATTTATTGATCACTGAATTCACAATGCAATCAAATGAGGAATTGGCTGTCTTAATCATCTGTTTGATTTTCATTGAAGCTGTTGATACTAAAGCCTGAGAGGTGTTTGCAATAACAGTAGCTTTTTTTCCCCTAATCATTGATTGTACAGCCATATTTTTTAACCTGAGTTTCCTTGCATTCAAAGCATCAGAGCCAAAGAGTTGCAGGGATTATCAAGAAATCAAAATACAAGAACAAGTTCAGAAGCTTGCAGTTGGTACCATTCCACGTTCAATGTGGGTCATTCTAGAAGATGACTTGGTAGATTGCTGTAAAGCCGGGGATGACATCACTGTGTGTGGTGTCGTAATGAGAAGATGGAAACCTGTTTTTCCTGATGTAATGAAAAGTTATCATTATTTCAAAATTTCCTTTGAGGATTAGTATTTTTCTTCCTCTGCTGTTAGCATTTCTGACTTTTTCAATGCAGAATTATAGAAAAAAAGATCTATTGAGTCATTAAACAAGAATCAAGCAATTTAGAATGATTATTCATGGAAAAACTGTGTGAAGCCAGTCATTTCCTCTTAAGTGTTATAAAAAATAAGTAAAAGTACATTATTGTATGCCAAGTACAAAATCTTTTCATTGAAGACATTGAAGCAAAACTTATCTTCAAATCAAAGGCTTTGTACCCACCATTGTTGGGGAGAGAAGAAGGTTTTGGTAACTTGTAAATGGCTCGTTGGCTTAGGTGAGGCTTTTCCTTTACAGCATTCTAATCGTATACTGAGTTTTTTTATTCACTCTTTCAGAGCCGATGTGATCTTGAGGTGGTTTTTAAGGCAAATCATGTATCTGTGAACAATGAGCAGAAAGCAACAGTTTTAGTTACTGAAGAACTAAAGCGAGAGTTTGCAGAGTTTTGGGAAAGATTTAAACAGTCTCCTCTTCAAGGAAGAAACCACATCCTCTCAAGTTTCTGCCCACAAGTATATGGCTTGTATGCCGTCAAGCTTGCCGTTGCTTTGATTCTGATTGGTGGGGTACAGAGAGTGGATGCTTCTGGAACACGAGTTAGAGGGGAGTCACATCTTCTGTTGGTGGGAGACCCAGGTAATTGACAGTTCTCATTGCTTAACATGGAATGCCCTAGTCATTTGAAAAATTTATCAGTGTATGGTGCCATGAGAAATTGGGCCTAGCTTTCCACATTTTGGTTTTTGGGAGCAAATATATTTTTCAGGCATTTACTGTTTCATCTTTAAATCATTAAAACTTGTCATGGTTAACATATTTCTTTAAGGTACAGGGAAGTCCCAGTTTCTAAAGTATGCTGCAAAGATCATGCCTCGTTCAGTGCTGACAACAGGAATCGGCTCAACAAGTGCTGGGCTGACTGTGGCTGCTGTAAGGGACTCAGGAGAATGGCAGCTGGAGGCAGGGGCACTGGTTCTTGCAGATGGTGGTCTCTGCTGTATTGATGAGTTTAACAGTATCCAGGAGCATGATAGAACATGTGAGGAATAATTTTCTTTATGAAAAGTGTTCTTGTCAAGTTTCCTGTGAGTACATACTCTTAAGACCAAAATAGGTGTTTGCCTTAATGAGCTGGTTTTTCCAGGTCAAGAGGTCCAGTTTTGAACTATGCCCTGTTAGTGAGTTTTTTTAGGTGTCTGACAGGGGAGGTTTGGCTACATTTTTCATAAACATGGCGCGGTTCTGTTCATGGAAAAGCATTGTGGGCTGTTAGAATATTTGGCATAGCCTTTTTAGTTACCTGAAATTAAAACTTACCCGTAATTTATATATGCCTGTTACAATACCAAATTCATTGGTCTTGAGATTCCAAATTCATACCTGTGAAACATTCAAAAGAATGAAATTGTTATGCTTTCACAGTCAGATTAAATTATTTAAGTTGTGATATTAACTTGGTAGTTAATTTTGCGGGTCGTTAATGTCGCGTTTCCCGCAGTTGTAAAAACATCGCGAAATTAGAGACCAGCAAATGAAAAATCCTCGCGAAATTTGATCCCCCGGTGAAAATTAAAATCACAGAGAAATATGATCAACATGTTCAACAACAGCAACATATATAGGATATGTATCGACAAATACACAAATTACGAACTGGTCTTACTTGTAAGTTCTTTCCTTTTTGGTATCTTCTGTTGTGAAACATCAATAGTTTGCAAAGATTTCACATATGTAGTAGAGAATCAAGCTATAATCTTCACCTTCATTTGAACAAATTCCTTAGAATATCTTACGGACAGTTGTCAAAGGTTAAGACATTTTGAAGAAAAAGATGAAGTTGAGAAAGCTTGAATCGCGAAATTGAACACCCTTTTTTTCATATTTGCCTCGTAAAATCGCGAAAATAAATTCCTGCGAAATACCTTCATGCCAAAAACGCGAAATTAAGTCTTTAGATTTCATAACACCCCGCACACTGTTTCTTCCCCCCTCCCACCCCTCTCTCTGGAAGGTCTTGATTGATCCCGTTACAAGCGATAAACTGATTGTCTTCCAGGTATTCATGAAGCCATGGAACAGCAAACAATAAGCGTGGCAAAAGCCGGAATGGTGTGCAAACTGAGCACAAGAACAACAGTGTTGGCTGCCACGAACCCAAAAGGGCCTTACGATCCGTCAGAATCTCTTAGTGTCAACATCGCTGTGGCCAGTCCATTGTTGAGCAGATTTGATCTCTTGTTGGTCTTACATGATGCAAGAAATGAAGAGTGGGATAGGTAAAGAGGCATTTAGATTTGTTGTTGCTGTTGTGAGTAGAACTGATAATTTAGAGGGTACAGAAAGAAAGGGAAACGATTAGAGTTGTAAATCCCATTTCCCAGCCCAGATTTTCCCCAAATCTCATTTCTAACCTATTTGGTGAGTTTATGTTAGTCACAATGCCATTTTTTTGTTTGTGATTTCCAATTTCAGTGACCAAAATTTCATTTTCTCCGTGAAAAAAAAAAAAGGAAATTTTATCCTCCATTTCACACCATCGAGCCTCTAATTGAACCAATAAACCGCACTACTAATTTCCAAATCGAGCGTAAGACTTAAGAAAACGCGGCACTCACATCGGGCATTTTTCACAAGGTTTTCCGATCTCGAATGTAAAGTCACACAACGATTGAAACCTTTGTTGCAATGCTCGCGAAGGGAATTGAAAGAGGATTCAAATTCGGGTTGAATATGTTCCTTAAAGGAGTTGGGCCTCGAGTTCAAAACGTCCAAATTTTCAAGGGTTATCTTAATTTAAACCATCCCCAGGTTAACTTCATGCGAAAAATAGATGCTGTCCTGGCAGTTGATTTTGTACTATTTTGCATTCGTTTCAATTGCGCTCTGAAATACATTATGCCGGAGTTTAAAATTTCTATGTCGTTAGTGCGGCATAAACCTAGTAAGTAATCTGGGGGTAACCCTTTATTTGAGGGTTTCCCTTTGCATAATTAACTTTTGCTATGGGAATAAGTTTACACCAGGACTTCTTGTTTTGTTTCAGAATTGTATCATCGTTCATTTTGGAGGGTAAAGGCCTCTCTACAACAGCCTCTTCATCAGAACCACTTTGGAGCATGGAAAAGATGCAAGCTTATTTCTGTTACGTTAAAACGCTGAAGCCTCAACTCACACCGGAAAGCAACAGGTCTGTGTTATAAGTGCACTTGTGTAAACTTCACTCTTACCGGGCTAAGTCGTGTTGAAAGGGAGTGAGTTTCAGAAAAACTGTGGTGCTGCGTCGGTGGAGAGTATAACAAGAAAGCTGACATTTCGAGCGGAGGGGCTAACGCCCGAAATATCAGCTTCGAAACCCTTTACAGGGACCAATTTACATTATCAACTCAGCTGATAAAACCAAAATTATTGAAGTCGTTGAGACGCGATGGGCTATTGTTACCGGGAAAGGATTCCGCATTTAGAGGTTTAGGGTCGAACCCTGGCCGGGTACTAAGCATTTTCCGGTATGCGCAAAGCCTTTTTCGAAAACGAAGGTAAGTGCAAAGCTTTTGTTTTGCAAGAGCAACTCATTATCACAAGGTTTTGCGCCTGAAGTTTTTGCGATTTTGCGCCTGAAGTCGTAAATGGCCGATCATTTGGTGTTTTTCGGCAAGAAACTTCATCCTCACGGTGCTACCATCGCCACTATCCACCCAGGCGTACAAATAGATACCAGGAGGCGTCCAGGGCGACAAACCTCGCGGGGAGAGGGGGAGGTAACATTACTCCAAGTCGAGAGAGAAACAAACGAATTCTCCTTCACCGCAAATTGAAATATTTCAACCGTCCTAGACAACAGGCTGAAAGGCAGTTAGCAAAAGTTTGATTTATGTCCAATCCAAGTTCAAGATGGGGTTCTTAATCTCTTTTTTTATGATCTCGAACTGGAAAGTGCTGTGGTGATACTGGTAATGCCTATCAGCAAGTTTTTTACCGAGACAAACTCGTCAGACTAAAGTTTTTACCTGGTAACTGAATGCTTCTTATTTGAGAATAGTCCCTTTTCTGTACATAGGCTCTCGAATAGATTGGATTATTGAATGTGTATTAAATTTGCTTGCAGAATCTTGAGCCGTTATTATCACTGTCAACGGCAGGCAGACCTTCGCAATGCAGCACGGACCACCATCAGGTTACTGGAAAGCCTTATAAGGCTAGCACAGGCGCATGCGCGCTTGATGTGCCGTGAATTCGTTACTGTACAGGACGCCATCACTGCTGTCACTTGCGTAGAGTGCTCTATGCAAAATAGTGCCTTATTAGGCAGTATGAACGCTTTACATACCAAATTCCCGGATGACCCTCAAGAAGAGTACTCGCGCCAGGCCAAGCTCGTCCTAAAGCGATTGCAGCTTAATGATATGGTGGCAGCTATTGATCAAGCACAGACAACTGGAGCCGGGAACAATTCTTACGTTAGCGGAAACGACGTTGAAAATAATAATCAGGATGCGCAAGTCGATTCGCGCGCCAATGACAAGGATAAAAAGAACAGTTCTTCCAGTGATGAAGAAAACTATAAACTCACCAATGACAGCAATGTCTCTAAAGATTTCACCGAGTTATATTCTCCCGACCAATTAACAGGAGTCTTTCCAATCGCATCTTCGAATGTTGGAACGGATACTCTCACGGAAAGTGTTTTAGATAAAGTGTCAGTTTGTGAAAAATCCGTACGAAGCAAAGAGACAAACAACATAAACAATTCAAACGGGAGGACCTCCTTAAGAAACCCTTCAGCTTTGAGAACAGTTTTAAACAGCAATGAAAATGTCAATTTTGCAAGTAGTGCTAACGGTTCACGTATATCCTCGTTCTCGTTGGAAAAAAGCAAAAACATAATTCAAATGTTTTCAAAGAAACCGGTTATTGAAGCTACGACAACTGTTACGCGAAATAGCAGCGGAGCCCCTCAGAAAGAGAACTGCAATATTTTTACGACAGAGGAACTCGATGAAGCAGATCTTGAGGTAGAATGGCCCTCTGATGTTCTGTCTTCGTGTGCGAAGGAAGGGAACGGTAATTCAAGAAACGTGTTAAGAGTGACAAACAAGACGTACAAATAACTTGATGAGATTTAACTCGAATGGAAAAAGAAATTTACTTTTTATTCTACGAAAAAGGCAGTTGGGTAATTTATTTTTCCCTACTAGCAAATGGTGGCCATTATTCCTTTCTCAATCTTAGAATTTCAGGTGGAATGCAA